ACATCTCCACCGATTTACAAGGAAATATATTTGTAGATTGTTGTTTTTGCGTGTTTTTGCAGCATCCCAGTACTTGCACGACGCAAAACTAGTAAACAAGGAAGTGAACAACCAAACCCCCCCAAAAAATAAAAATAAAATAAAATGTGTGAGTACCCCATGCATTTTGACATTCCAATAATTATTCGGGATAGAATTAATGTCTGTGCAGAATTTGACAATAGACCATACTGATTTGCTGGGCAAGGTGACATGGACTCTATCCAATTTCTGTGCCCGCCTTCCACAAAGCAATCTTCAGCTGCTCTTCGTGCCTGCAACACCGAGACGCAACATGTGACATGTCAAATTGATTTGACATGTGAGATCCACTCAAATCCTAGGTTGTATTGCACGCTTTGCTTCTGCCTTGTCGCGTGTCGTCGTTTTAAGTGCACAAAACAAGTGGCTCAGAACTTACGAGTACGTACAAACTTCCGGCTGACGGGTGATCAGTCCATGAAGCCATGCAGCCACGGCATATGATCGTTTGGTGGACATTGTCTGCACACAAATTTAACGGTTTTGGTAGGTCAAGGTGTATATATATATATACATACATACATATAGATACAGGGTGCGATATATATACATGTATATATATATATATGTTTACACAGAATCATATCCTGACATTAATAGAACTATATATATATATCTGTGCATATATATATATAACATTATACACACATTATACAACCGTGTACAATCTATGTCTATGTATGTATGTATGTATATATATATATACAGTGTTGATGTCTCATGTTTATATAAACGCTGCGCATAGCACGCCTCCACAGGATTAGGCCTTGTTGCCATGCTCTCTTCGTAGCGATCAGCTGCCCGAGCCTTGACAATGGCCATCCCATGCCATCCCCATATCTGTAAGCAATCTGATAGTAATATGGTGGAAATCATATGTAATATGTATGAATATGTATGTATATATATATATGTATATATACATATGTATATACATGTGATATATATATATATGTATATATATATATACATATTTAGTAATATTTAGTAGTATCTATGAAGCATGTGATCCTCATTGATCTTCGGCACCGCAACAGTCCAACATGCAGCCACTCAAGAGCCTTGTTCACTGCCCATCTGTGGAGGCCAAGATCGGTAAGGATATGAAGACACATTTGTGTTGGGAGAAGGGCAAGTCAGCTCTACGTGCTGCTGGGAGGGTCAAAACTCTTTTAAGCAGGTACAGAGCCTTTTGGTTTGTGGATCGGTTATGATGGATTCGCCCCTGTGAATCCAATGTCACAGAGCTGTTTCAACATACAAGTAGCATCAAGATGCATCAAGTAGCGGGCAACAAAGGAACCAATAAATCAGATTAGTAGTCGACTGATTCAACAGCATTCAGGATGCACATTGCGAGCTGTGCAAACCGAGAGAGGCACTGACAAAGTGTGTAGCTGCTCATGGAATAGGGCTTTCAAAGGAGCCTCTAATGCCTGATGTTGCACAAGATCAAGCCGCATTGCACAGTCTATCAGAAGCTAATTCGGAACCTTTCAACATATTAACATATAGTTGAAACATCGATATCCCAACACTGAGACAACATTGAAGATCTTGACAGCGTCGTCAAACTACAGCTACACTGACAGAATTGCATTGCGATGCACCTTCTCTAAGCCAGAGCCAGTCTTCTCTCCAGCTATTCTGAGGCCACGTTTAATGATCTTGTCAGCCTCACATGCAAAAAACATTGGTGCTGAGAAATGCAGGCCCTTGCAGCACTGCATGAATTTCTTGTGGTACTAATGGTGCCAACTGTTGCAGTTTGTGTGTGTGTCTACGTAGTCTAAGTATGCGGCGGTGATGCCAAACTTTGGCACAAGACCCTGTTTCTGCACCTGAGCGACGAAGGCAGAAAGCTGTGGCGCTGCATTTGTATGATTACTTCGCTTACAGCTCACTGGGGACATGACAAGGTCTTGCAAGGACTGCACCTGCGGAAAGACACCAGTGGGAAAAGACAATGCATTTGCATATGTTGCATTCAATGGAGGGTGGATGTAGGAAGCTTCATTCTTACCAGTAGCATGCAAATGCAACTGCATAGATTGCGCCAATCGCGCTTAAGTAATAAAATGGTATACATTTATAAATTCATTAATTTGCAGAATTCTTCGAATTCATGACTACAATGTGGCAATCAGGCAAGCCCAGAGCTGAAGCCTGTTCATGCGCACCCTGCACAATTGTGCCTGACGTGCCGTTGTTGTCAAAGCCTTGAGATGTGCTTCTGCTACTTGCACCTCCACAAATCAATGCAATCAGGGATTTGAAGAAACAAGTCCTCATCATTAGCACTGAGAGCTGTTTTCGCCGTCAATCATTCTTCTGGGTTGCGTGAGATGCATGAGTCTCTGCGAGTCTTTGTGAGTCTCTCTCTACTCGTTTTGTTATATATAATTCAAAACGCGCACCTGTGAGACGCTTTCACTTGCCCCATCCGCAAATCCAGTTGGGACTTGAAACGCCAACAGAAGCAGCAGGCCTGCAGAGGTTATAAAGCGTTTACATGATCTGCCAACCCCTTTCAACACCAGTCAAATTAAATGCAGAACATTGCAGAACTATTTCGCAGTCTCTCAACATTCAGAAGCTAGGGCCGCATAGGGCAATAGCATGCAGAGATGGAGAGGCAGGCCTGAAACCAAGGTAGCCTTGAGAACTTTCTGCCTGGGAAAGAAAATTCCATGGCATCACTCATCGATATTCCCTCAGAGAAGACTCGCACGTCCATCACTGGGAACAACTCATGAACCCTGCCTTGCACCACGACTAGCTCCAACAGTCTCTGAGGCCTTGTCAATTTGAATCTTCACACGGGGCCCATCGCCCACATGAAACTGAAACTCTTGAAACGAGCCTTGTGTAACGATCGCATGATCATTGCTTCAGCCGCCAACAAATGTATAGTCTAATGTAGAGGTAAAAAGTGGGGAGCATACATATACCTTTGTATGGCAAGGGGGCTTTAACAAATGCATGTGTATTGCAGAAAACAAACTATAAAAACACCACCATCATCATTATATGCCCGAAATGTGTGCAACATCTTTCAAGGTCTCGGATACTTTCATTTGCCTCGTTAATCTTTGAGCCTCAAGTAATTGCATTTCCGAGGTGTTCTGTCCTGATAACAACATGAGCAAACTGCATTGATTCAAGCAAAGACGCAAACTCTGCAAGTAGCGGATGTCACTAATTTGATCTATATAATTTGATCTAATTTGCAGGTATTGCATTTCTGTTGCTTGGTAGTGAATGGTATTGCATCGCCGCACGCTGCAAGTGCTCAACCATCTCAACAGCGCACTACATGCCTCATCTTCATGAGATCCACCTTTGTGTGAAGCCTGCAGGGAGACTTCACAAAATCTACCACCAAAACCAGTAACTGTCAGATCTGTCAGTAGGGATAGTGTCTGTGTTCCCCGCAAATAACTGATTGGGCCAGACAATGCCGGGTAATGCCGGCTACGATATGCTGCATGCAGTAGTATGATAATGTATGCTCTAAAGCGCCAGCAAATGTCATACTTTTCAGAAGTCTTTGCATGCTGACGCAATGCCGCAGCATGGTATTCGCTGATCACGCTGTTGGGCCTCTTCAAAAAGGACCTGGCAAGAGGTGGCTGCTGAACAAACAGAAATTCTAAAACTCCTGCGAGAAATCCAAGCAACACAGGCAAAACTCAAGGTCAAAAGGATGCGAGCAAACAGGAGCAAACCTTTTGGATGGTATCATCTGGAACAATTTTCAGTATACAGTAAATGATAAAGATACAAATGTACACAAACGTAACCTTGCAATGTATCGCAAAAGATTTAGAGCATTGTCGATTGTCCCAGTTTCTGGCATTCCAGGGAGCTCCAAAGAGACATTGAACATATTCAAAATTCAGAGGAAAATGCATCGGGTTCAACACAACAAATCGACTAGCAACGAGGACAGTTAAGCGATTTTAAGCGACCTCGAATTTGGAAGCATGCAACTCTGCGAAGCAACTAGCAACAGAAACGTTAGTCTACCAAGGACTCTTTGGATAAGATTCAAGTCGGTTGAAGTATGATAAGTATGAGAATAGTATGAGACGACAAACAAAACGGTTTCCCGAATGCAAATATATGATACTTCAAGGCCGCAACAAGTGCAAGTCCATGCTTTATTGATAAACACTAGACACAAACGCTGGAAGCCCATGCCGCTTCACATTCTAGGCAGTCTTTGCACTGTTGAGTCAAAGACTGCATGAGCAATGGACCATTTTCACTGGTTGTTTTTGTCACCGGATTTGTTGCAGAAATATGTGTACATATAAAATCGTATATAGAATAGCTCAATCTTATAAACTTATAGATATTATAATGAAGGAATATGAGAGAATATGGGAGAATTGAATATTTATATAAATATATATATATATAATCTTATATTATATTATATTTATATTATATTATATTGTATATTATATATAGGACAGGAAAAAGCAGCGGCAAGAGCAAAAAGACACCTAGAACCTTGCAGGTTCAGAAAGCAACGTTAGGCAGTACAGGCCGTTGCCCGGAGGCTCGCTCCGTTCTTCACGCTTGGATTGTTTGGCCAGCACCGGGCAGCAAGAGCAAGAAGGGCGAGGAGCAAGAGCAAGAAGGCAGGACAAAGCAGCGGCAAGAGCAAAATAAAACAGCTGGTTTCTTGAAGGTTCAGAAAGCCACGTTCGGCAGTACGGACCGTTGGCCGGAAGCCCGTTCCGAGCGTGGCGAATCCGCCGTTTTCGAGCCTTGGCAGCTGGACATTTCGAGGCTTGGCGGCTGGACTTGGATTGGCTGGCCAGCACCGGGCAGCCATTCCGTCCTTCACGGCCCTGCTGTTGGAGTGCAGCAAAGCCGCCGATTTCGGGCTGTGGCATCCCGAAGGGTTCTCTCTTCTCCGCAGGAGAGAGGGGGTGTTGCCCCTGCCGCCGACCCTGCCAACTCTTCAATGGTTTTACGGATTTAGTTGGTTGAAGCTACCTCAACATAGGTAGCTCCAAGATGGGCCATCATAGCCCCACCATCGTTCAAGATGGCCCCACACAGCTGCAACCTGGCCTCAAGATGGGCCCAACATAGCCTCAAGACGGCCCAACCTTGCCCCAAGACGGCCCAACATACCTCCAAGCTCCCCCAACATAGGGCCAAGACTGCCGAAGATTGGCCATCATAGCCCCACCATCGTTCAAGGTGGCCCAACATAGCTGCAACCTGGCCTCTGGATGGGCCCAACATACCCTCAAGACGGCCCAACCTTGCTGCGCCAACATAGACCTCCGCCGCGCACAACCACAACTACAACTACTACAACAACAACAACAACAACAACAACAACAACAACAACAACAACAAAAAAGGGGGGGAACACCGCCTTGAGGCGGGTGTGGGTTTTCTACAATTGTGTACTTGGTGATTGAATCAAAAATCACCTTTTTACACTGTAATTTACAGTATTTTATGGTTGTGAATCCCCGACCCCAACTGGTTCAGGAGTAGGGGGGGGTGGATCCTACATTTCTGATAATGTATGAATATAAGGGGGGGAGTTAACCCCCTCACTTTTTGCCAAAAATGTATGGGAACTAGGGGGGTAACCCCTCAAAATGAGGCATGCATGAGTGCCAGATGCTGGAAATGTATTATTGGTAGGGGTATTGAACCTGAACATGTATGCTTTGTGGGGGGGGCACCACTGACAAGAGCCAATGGCTGCATAAACTTTTCTAAATGTATGCAAGCATGGGGGGTTCTGCACCTCAGTCCAGTTGATCTTTTTTTCCTGGGAGACGTACTGAAACCCATGGGGAAACCTGGGAATACCTGGGGTCACCCTAAAAATATTCTGGAGTATTCTGGGCTGAAGACCATTGAAGACCATTCTGGGCCAATGGCAACTAGCGGGCCCTCGAGCCATAAAATGGCTGAAATATACTCGATCTTAAATATTCTGAAATGTATGCGTTGCAGGGGGTACCAATGACTACCTTAGCAAGATCTATAAACTCCATTTTCCCAAAATGATGTGCTTTTCGGCTACCCAACCCCCCTAAAATACATTTTTCAATGAAGGGTATTCCCAAGAAAAAAAGTAGACATTCCCGGGGATCCTGGAAAAACCAAATCCGTAAAATGTATTAAACCACCCCCCAAAATAAAAGATCCTGGGGGGGTTGGATATCCCGACCCATGGATCCTACATTTAACGTACGCCCATCGGTCAAATAATGTATTTAGGGGGGGTCCTGGGGAACCAAATTCTTGGAGAACGGTAAATGTATTTTTTTTACCTGACCTCTCCCCCCCTCAAATACATTTTTAGGGGTGGGTGATGGTTGTGATCTATGATGTTTTGAAGTTTGCTGCAAGAGGTCAAAATGCCAAAAAAAACTCTTGCAATTCCGCAACATCTGCTTGAGGTTCAATGCATTCTTTTTTCCTCAGTGCTCTTTCAGTCGGCATTCTTCGTTTTGAAGAGCTTGCCCAAAGTCTGGATGTATTGATGCTGGTGTGCAAATCTAAATTGCCATGATCTCACATAGATCATTAGCTTTTTATTGAGGCGTCCTCTGCACAACGTCTTCACAGTCTTTGGAATCCATGACTGCATACTTTTCCAACGGGAATCAGCTATCTGAGTTCCTATGTTTCGACCTCTGAGAAATTCTTGACGACGATGGCTCAGCTGCTTAATACGAAAACCTTTTCTCATCTCTTTGGAAACCTTTGCCCATGCCAAAGCACCATCCGAGTATAACATGGTGTTTTTACAGTCGAAAGGAACGTTATCATCCCCCCCCTCCCGGTCAAGGTAGCAAGACGTCAGCAACAAAGTTGGGCAACTTGTCTTCGGTAGCATCATCTTACAGTCGAAAGGAACGTTATCATCCCGGTCAAGGTAGCAAGACGTCAGCAACAAAGTTGGGCAACGTGTCTTCGGTAGCGTCATCTTACAGTCGGCAAGAGCGTTAAACACGTATACTGCCAAAGAGCACAAACGTGGAAAAAAACACGCCCGCCTCGGGGCGTTGACCCCAACAAAAACAACAACAACAACAGCAACAAAAGCAACAAAAAAAACAACAAAAACAACAAACAAACAAACAAACAAACAAACAAACAAACAAACAAACAAACAACAACAAGCACAACCACAACAACCACAACAACCACAACCACAACCACAACCACAACCACAACCACAACCACCACAACAACCACAGCAACCACAACAACCACAACAACCGCAGCAACCACAACAACAACCGCTACCACAGCAACCACAACAACCACAACAACCACAACATCCACAACAACCACAACAACCACAACAACCGCCACCACCACCACCACCAACAACAACAACAACCACAACAACAACGACAACGACAACGGCAACGACAACGGCAACGACAACGACAACCACAACAACAACAACAACAACAATAACAGCAACCACAACAACCACAACCACAACCACAACCACAACCACAACCACAACCACCACAACAACCACAGCAACCACAACAACCACAACAACCGCAGCAACCACAACAACAACCGCTACCTCAACAACATAGGTCCAAGATGGGCTCGAAGATCGGATACCTCCAAGCTGCCCCGACATAGGGCCCAAGACTGCCCAAGATGGGCCATCATAGCCCCACCATCGTTCAAGATGGCCCAACATAGCTGCAACTTGCAACCTGGCCTCTAGATTCTAGATGGGCCCAACATAGCCTCAAGACAGCCCAACCTTGCTGCGCCAACATAGACCGCCGGCGCGCACCACCACCACCACCACCACCACCACCACGAGCACCACCACAACAACAACAACAACAACAACAACTACTACTACTACCACTACTACTACTACTACTACTACTACTACTACTACTACAACTACAACTACAACTACAACTACTACTACTACTACTACTACTACTACTACTACTACTACTACTACTACTCCTACTGCAACTGCAACTGCAACTGCAACCGCAACTCCAACTCCAACTCCAACTCCAACTACAACTACAACTACCACAACCACAACCACAACCACAACCACAACAACCACCACAACAACAAGAGCAAGAACAACCCCGAACGCTCCACGTTCGGGCCCTTTCCTTCTTACCTTTTTTTTTGTTTTCTTTTCCCCTTTGGCCCCTGGCCGGCTGTTGGGCGTAAGCCCTTAAATCCGGCCAGGGGCCGTAGGCCTTTTTCCTCTCCGTAGGAGAGAGGGCTGCCCTCCCTGCCCCCCGCCCTGCCCCCGTCACCGGTGTCGGTACAAACACCCCGCCATTTACGGCGGTTGCTTTCCCAATTTTTTCGATCTTATGGATCAAGATGGGTCAACATGGCCCAACATAAGCCCCAAAATGTGGCCCAACATAGCCCCCAGATGAGCCAACATGGGCCGCAAGCTGGGCCCACATAGCCCCAAGATGGGCCAACATAGCCCCAAGATGGGCCAACATAGCTCGAAGACGGGCCAACATAGTGCCAACATAGCCGCAAGCTGGGCCCACCTCACCCCAAGATGCGCCTGCTACAGACTTTATGATCCTTTACCCTCCAGTGGGCTCCTGGCCGGCTGTCGGGCATAAGCCCTTAAATCCGGCGAAGCCTCGCCGTGTGTGGCGTAGCCTGCAGCTAGCTTTAGCTAGCGCCGTGCCTGCTGCCGACCCCCCAAAATCCTTCAGGCTGGTGGTGTTTTCGGGTTTTTGGGGCTCCGGGGCCAGGAAAAAAGATGCTAAAATTATAAGATGCTTTTGGAAATCGATTTTGGACCGTTTTTGAGCAATTGTTTGACGGATTTTTGCTGCGCTCGGGAAGCAAAAATATCGTAAAATTCAGTGCTTTTGTCCTTTTCGCATATAGGAACCACATCTTGCAACATTGTGAAAACTGCGTAAATAAGAGTGCTTTTGCTAGGCACTGCTCCCGATGCGCAAAAAACACAAGTGCTTTTTCCCCCGAGAATTTCAAACAAATATGAAAACACCACCTACTTGACGATTTTCGGCCGCTACGAGATTGAGAAAAATAACTGCAGGGGTAACAACAACAACAACAACAAGAACAAGAACAAGAAGAAGAAAAAGAAGAAGAACAAGCACAAGCACAAGCACAAAAATGCGACAAATAGATATGTGGTTAGATGGTTTCAAGCTGGATATCAAAAGGGCATCACGCTGTGCTCTGCACCTGCGCGCACGCGCAGAGCACATGCACAACACCAACGCTCACACTACTGTACAGAACCCTTATGGCAATGCCGGTGCGCGAAGTGCGAAGCTCTATAATTATATATATGTGTAGTGTATCTCACCCAAACGCGGTCATCCAGCCTCTTCACCGTTGGAAATGCCAAAGCAAGCCTGAAAAGCGCTCGAGATCGCTGTCTGTGTTCCAAAACCGTTTGTTGATACACTCTCAGAATGAGGTCATCGGTACTGTCATTGGTCACAGCAAACGCATTCGGACTAGGTACGCAATAGTGCTTCCACTTGCCATTCTTTGACAGACTGCTGCGACAACCACCACTACCTCCACTACCACTTGTACTGCTATTGTCAATGCTACGGCTACTCCAACCCCTACTCCCATTCTATACTACGAGGGATACACCCCTCGCATGACATGTTGTCGTCTGTAGGATTTGCTCGGTACCAATTTCGAATACTTGCTCCTGATGGGCTGCCACACAATACAACTTCCTTCTTTCCAACTACTCCCTGCTAGTTACCTCTCTTGGTTCCTGCTACTGTACCTACAATCAGCTATATACTCAAGAATAGTGAGCATCAACTGCTAAATACAAACTGGATTGTGTTGAAGCAATTCGACACCTACACTGTCTAGGACTGCTTGCCACTTACTACCAACTACCACTAGCAACTATATTTATCAAATTATACCAACTAGACTGGAATCTCTAACAACATATATGTAGACTTGCCAACAAGTGCCGCCATGCACCACCATGTACCATCATGTGCCACCACACTTCTACCACTCCATGACCATTACAGTACCACTTCGGTTGCCTACTTCTACTGCAATATTCTATTGCTGCTGCGACTGCTGCTGCTGCCCTCAAAAGCGCCACAGGACCCACAACCACCGCAGCCATCACTAATTTCACCTGCATGAGATACCACTGACAACTAGCGACACCACTCTGACCTCATCTCTACTGCATCTGAACCTGCACTTCTACTGTACTTGATTTCTTCTGCTTCCAACATCACCATCGGCGCTGGCCCGGCCAGCAGAACTCAAAATGAGTGACGTTAAAACATTCATCAAATTCTTACTGATCTTACTGGTAGCAGCAGTTGCGTACACAACATCTGCCAAGCAGCATTTTGCCACGGAGCGTCACTGCCGTGTACTGCATATCTTTGCAGCCTCAAAGCCCATGTCCACTTCCAATTTCAGCTTACTCTGAATGCCCCTACTTGGCTTCAAGCTGGAAAATGAAACCGGCTTCAAGGAGCGTTCGTTTCCGATGAGATGTACTGTGACTTCGAACAGTGCGTGTCAATATCATGTCTTTCATTGGTCTGTTTGCCATCCGCGGTTCACTGAGCAGTAGACTCTGGAGAAACATTGTCGTGGTCATGCGCCTAGGGACGGGTTGGTCCGTGGGAGTCCTTCATGGCAGCCACAGCTCTTCCGTGTTGCTATTGCCACAACTCTTGCTGTGATCAGGTAAGATCGCGATGCTGTCAAATTTTCACCCTATCAGAACAGAAGGCAAACCTGTTGCTTTTTCACGTAGGTGCTTGTAGCGTCTTCTAGCTATACGAGACTTGAGACGTTCTGAGACCATCTATACACAAGGTATCAACTACTGCACCATAGAGCAGGCATTTGTGCAATCCTCCTCGCGTGCTATTTGTTAGGTTCGACATGGCCAATTTCCAAGGTCTAACGCTGTTTTGGTTCTTTTGCCACATGTTGGGTTGAAGACTATGTAGCAGTCTCAAAGTCTCATGATGTTTTGCATGTTGCTTTAACATGCTAAAACCTCTTCATATTGTTCATGTTGCTGACACCTGTCAAACACAACTCTTCATTTTTTCACACGGGCAGATCGGAAGAAGACAGGATAGGCTCCAATCTGTAATCTCTTTTCAAGAGGAAGTCTAAGCCTATTTCTCGATACAGTACTGTGCCTTTTCATCTCTTGGACGTGAAGCTCAGCGGGATTCAATCGGCTCACATTGAGCAGCAAGCTTCCATTTGCTTCCTTCGCTTTGAGACGCGAAGTGGTCCTGTTTGATTTTCCCTCTTGCCAAGTGGTGAAATCGACGTGCCACGTCGGCTGCATGTTCGTTGCTGCTGCATGTCACTAGGAAGTTTTTGCGTTCCAGAACGGTGCCTTGGGGATAGTTCTAGAACGGTGCCCGCTGGTGGGCTTTCAGACTTGAGTTGACGACTCGCTCAAGTTCTGGCTGCATCAGAGACCAATGTTCGAAAGAACATGCTGGAAAATCGAGAAGGGCTGAGAAACGTCCACAAGATTATATTATATATAATAGATTATAATAGTATATTATATACATAATATACAAATACACGTGTAATTGTGACAGATTGTGAGAGGATATACAGGAGAGTGATGTTCTGGTAGAAATGCTATTTCGGAAGACAGCAAGAAGGAGGTCATCACTGCCGTTAGCAGTTCTGAGCAGTCATGAGCGCCTTATCTTTCTTTCATCATTAGATTTGTCAGGTGCCTCGAACTTTAAGATGCTCTAAGCACACCACTGTAGCATTGACAGTGAAGGTCTTCATCACCGCCTTTTGCTCCTTCTCTTGTGCCAGGCACAAGTTCCCACACCTGCCATCGCTTAAGCCGCGGTGCATAGGTCACGATGCTCTTTCTGCTGCCAGTGCCAACTCTGAGATACTGGCCCGTGGCGGGTGCAAGCTGTGCCTGAGCTCATGGGCCATGATGGCATCACGGTAGCATCATAGCACATGGATTTCTTAGATAAGTTGTGGCGTGACTGACCCTGCAGATCAATTATATATGCTGAAGCCATCAAAGACATCAAGAAACAACATCCCAAACTCATCCATTTTTTAATTCTGAACATTCAAGCCCGATACAGGAGAAGCAAAATACACAAACTTTGCCTTGGCTGTGTAGGTCCCCTAAGCTGGGACTTGTTGGGACAGCTGCTCAGCCCTGGACACTGCTCGCAATCTCCTGCACATCCAGAAGTGTAAGCGCCCATCTTGACGTTCCTCCAAGCACCTCTCGACGAGAGTGGAGTGTAGGGCGGGGCTTGCAGGGCACCGTACCAGCTGGTCCTGCACTGAGTCCGCACTGCTTGGCACCCACAAGTAATATGAAAAATCATGAAAATAATTGCGCAGGCAACCCAGGTACTGTACTGACCCCAAAACCATGCTCAACACCAATGTGAAGGCATCGAATTGATTGCTGACAGGCCCTCAAACTTGAGTAGCATCCTAAATTCTGTGTTGTGCCTCATTACCCCTCGGCTGGAGAGTAGATAAAAGGAAGAGTTTGAACCAAATACTGTACTGAGAGTAAGACACAAAGGACATCAAAGGGCACAAAGGCGATGGGATTCGCCAAGTAATTTGTTGTGCAAACACTTTCTTTCCTCAGCAAGCTGAGCTCTCCGACCGAAAAGAAACACGAAGTCGTGGACGTGCACAATTTGCACTACACAAAGCGTGGAAGTCAAGGGCTAGTGCCAGGCCCTGATTACTTAAAGCTGCAGACCCTTAGATGGTAATAGGCTGATGTGTTCAAAACGGAGTCATTGTATGTCATTGTGACACATTCGGGTTCGGGTTCGGTTTGAATGCTTCATGAGAATCTGCCGCGACGATCAAAAACTCTATCACTGAGCCTGGAAGATTGGCCATGCCGAGAATGCCCAGGTCAAGACACGAGGGCAGGAAACCATTTCAAACATCCTGTGAAATACACCACTTCAAAAACATAAGATAGGAAACGCACAAAGCGAGGAACATCAGTGAACTTTTCCAGATGAAGAGTCATGTCTAGCAATCGTACTGTACTGCTCTTGTGTAAAGTTAATCTCCATAATTACAGCTACAACATATTCTCCGTCGATATGTTCTCGCATCTAAAACAGGTCGAGACCCTTGAAGCACTTGGCATTCGGTACTACAAGTACTGGATCCATCTGGGTCCCTCTGGGTCCCTCTGGGTCCCAAGCCTCAAGCACTTCGGCAGCTTCTTCCACAATGACGATTTCTGGTCGTAGCTCCTTAAAGCAAGACTCAATGTGGCGTGCTGATAAACAGGAACGCTGTGGGCAGAATTGGTGAGGAATAAACTCTTGGTTGAGGGAGTCGTTCAATGGATGAGGGTCAGCCTTAGGGTGCTTGTTTCAGTTCATGAGGTTTGAGATTGTTTTGAGACTCTTGGGGTAAACTCTTGAGTTGTCAATTGACTGAGTTGAGCTAATCGAGTGCCCCAACGTTTGCATGTGCGTGTGTGATTGATCGATTGATCGATTGATGAACTGGCTGATTGATTGATTGGTTGATTGATCGATCGATTGAGGATTGTTGGTATTGATATTGTTTTTGATTGATGGATCGATGGATTGATGAATTTATTAATTGATTGATTGATTTGTTGATTTATTGGTTGATTGGTTGGTTGGTTGGTTGTTTGATTGAATGATTGATTGATTAATTGGTTAGTTTGTTGGTTGATTGAATGGTTGATTGATTGGTTGGTTGGTTGATTGAGGATTGATTGATTGCTTGCTTGATTGATTGCTTGCTTGGTTGGTTGGTTGATGGACGTGCTGAACAAATATATGCATAAGTGCATTGACGGAGTGAGTGATTGATTGGGAAAGTGATTGAACATTGCACTCACAACCACAACCGAAAGCATACTTCAAACTATACTACAAAATGTGTTTGTAGCAGCAAAAGGACATCGCAGGTGGCAGGAAGCAGAGCCATCACATTCATGTACAACCCTGAAGCTGGTAGCCAACATACAGTAGCAGTAGGAATGCCTCTGCTGCACCCATTGAGAAGTTGCTTGCAACCATGGCACAAAAGGGGCAGCACAGCAAGAGGATGCAAGAGGAGAAACAAAATGAATCGACATGGTTTCCAGTCCAGTCCTTTAGCAGGAGCTGGTACTTTGAGACCGCAGTTGTTGTCATCCCAACAACCTGGACAATCTACAATCATTTGGACTCCCCGATGAGTCAGGTTGCATCAGATTGCATGTGGAAATTTACTGGGAACTTTGAGATTGGCATCCGTCGCCTGCATCTCCCGGAGAACTGCAAGTTTTCTGTCACGGTCCAGGGCCTCAAGTGACTCCCACCACTGCCCCTGAGCTGTGAAAGCACCGAAGGGACATGTGAAGGTGAAGTATGTACGGGACATACACTGTATGCACCAGAAAAGAATCTGCACCCAAGGCGCATATCTACATACTAGTAATAAGATGCATTGAGGTACTGTCTTGCATGTGCTACGCAAGCATATAGTAAGAAAGTATGAAGATACAATGAACATGTGGTAACATATATGTGTAATTACTATGTATTGTAAACTACGTTCTCAAGCTCACTACGCTCAACAGGGATCTATATTATATTTACAGTACCTGAAGCTTCAAAATCCTGTTTTTATTTTGAGCGGTTGTGTTTGCTCAATTTCTTGGTGCGTTTGGATCAAAATTGACCGATTTGAGTGTTTTGGTGAAAATCTGTGCGTTTCCCAATTCCACATCCATCAAATCACCCCAACATAGCAATTTCATCGATGATGTGATTGGTATGATGCTTCAATTTATAAGATTTTATAAGTAGCGGTTAAGCCGCTACATCTTGCATGTTTTACAACATACCCTATCAATGTTGGAGCTTTCACCCCATTTTGCTCATAGACTGAAAATATTTGAAAATCACAAACATACACTTTTTGGATTTTGAGGTCGTTTGGTGATTTTTGAGTCCGGTTGATGGATTTTTGAGTCCGTTTTGATCCAAAAACTAGGCGTGTTTTTTTCATGGTTTGGATGCCTTGTGCACCAAAATCAACACTTGGGCGGCAACAACTCTCTAATTGTTCAGTTTTTTGCATGGCTGAGATCAAATGTTTCATTACCCCAGGTTAATGATTCAGTCTTGAGGATCTTCTGGAGTAGTCAGCCGTATCTTTGATGATTACAATATATTACATTTTTTCTAACTAAAAACCAATGAAAACATGAATAGTGGTCGCTTTGGGTCAAAGGCTATTTTTTATGAGCGACCCTATTGAAAACTAGGCGACAGCCTAAACAGACAATTTATTTTGAGCGTTTGAAGATCCAGGTATATCATATATCAAATATGCATCGTTGTGATGTGCCTTCTCCATGGAGTTGCCTTTGACAGGCCTTCTATGGCCCAAACAGCTCTGCTTTCCGCATTGCGTTCCAACAAATGTGCCAGCTCCGGCAGGATTCCTCTCGCTTCTTCGTGAGCCTGCAAAGGCAAACGCAATTCTGGAGTTCCAAAATCGGGATGGTGTGTCACGGCAAACGCTGAGTGCTACCTATGGGATACAAGCAGCTTGGGCAGAAGATTTCTTCTGGTATTTCCCTATATCAGTGACTCCAGTGATATCAATATTGTATCGATTGCTTATGACTGCTCCATAGATTGCTCACAATTGCTTCGTAGATTGCTTGATAGATTGCTTCCAAGTAAAGTTGGTGCCAGGGCCTCTAAAAGCCACTGACGGTAGCATTCTCGCCGATGCTCTCTGTGTAGCCGCCAAAGATCCTGTTTCTGTCGCATGCTCAATCAGTCGCCAGGGACAACCATGTCAGGACAACACATGCACCTGATGCGTTTCCCCTCCCAATCCAAATTAATCTGAATCATGTTGCATGTTGCGGTGGAGTTCAGCTTCAGAACACGATACATAGCAGCACTTCTCAAAGCCATTGCAACGCAAACAAAGCCATCATGCAAAGCAATAACAAATAATAACAATGCAAAGAACAAATAAAGAAAGCCATAGAAAGCCAAAAAATGCAGGTATAGACCATATGATACGAGTACCATATGTACGCATTGAACAAGAACCAAAACAACATCCATATATTTATCGTAGTGGCCTCTTGCCGCCAATCCAAACTCCGCATCTCCGGAGTCATTGTTTCGTAGTATTCTTCCAAGTACGGAAGCCTACAATGGGAACACACATGCGACAGATTGCGACAGCAACAAGTAACTTTTGCAAGCACTCATTCTTATCATTCTTCGCGCTGAAAGATTCAACCCAAGCCAAAGCAGTGTGGATTATTTAATTATTATATTGGCCATTGCTTTGAATGCGTTTGACTCTTAAACACGGTGGGATAAGTCACACGGGTGTACTATTTCACGTGGCTTCGCCGTATTATAAATATAAATATTATACTAGATTAGCTGAGTAGCTCGTGCAATCGTTGATTCCAAGAATGCGGAAATTGTCGGCTGTTCATCCCTTGCATTCCCTTGTAGCTTGCATGTTCCACTCTAACGTTTCTTTGCAAAGTTTTTTTCGAAAGAGGTCGGATATGGTCGGATGATCAAATGGCTAATCTTAGGATGCTGAGCTTCACGTGGCTTGGCTGTTGGTGGACTGTGGGGTTCCTTCTCGTCTTGTCATTACAGATTCCACACCTCATACATTCTCAATCATTCTCATACTATACAATTGATTTGGTCATGCTGTTGGATTTCCCAATGGTGGACCTACTGCACTTGTAAGATGTTGTACGGTTGTACTGACACTCAAGAACAGGATGTATTATGATGTATTTACCTTCACACAATAGGTGCCTGCTGTTGCAAAATGCGCACGTGCCGAGTTGCACTGTACATGAAATTGGCGCCACTAAACTGAGCAAACAAAATACCTGAATACATCTGAATAAGTCTGAATACATTTCGCAGGGCAGTTTTGCTATTGTTCCAGAGCGTCAAGCTCATTTCATGTTCTCCGGCGCTTTTGCTGTTCTGGTAGGGTCGGACTGCATTCCAAGTGAAATTCCCTGCAAGACTCCTCTGACAAGTCTGGCATGGATCGTTGGGCCGAGCTACATTCGGCAGCTATATCATACTATCTGACATTCATCAAATAGTTCCGCTGCGGTCAAGGCATTCTGTTTCACTCTGTGTAAGTGTCATTGCGTCAATAAAAATGCATAAAATGCTATAAAATCAACGTCAACTAAGTCAACTAGTACCAATGCGAGGGCTCTTCATTGCATTTGCCAAGATGCCATGCGTAGTGAAGCTCTTGGAAGAAGTCCATGCGGCTCCTGCGGTTGACTCATGATTGTCTCAATTCCCAAAGGATTCTCAGACAACTGCGACAACTGCATGTTTCTCAAGCCAGCAATGGTAAGTTTTCGTTCGGTCCCGGGCTTCTTCTTTTCATCGACCTGCTCGGTCTGCTCGTTGTCAACATCGAGTTTTCTCTCGTACATTTCATTCTCTGCCTCAAGTCAAAGAAGTGTGGAAAGCAAAGCAAGGCTGATCAAGAAGCCGGCACTGAATCATGATTCCAATAGTAGAAAACTGTTTGGAAGCTAGGTGATTGGCAAGAAGGCATGGACAAGGCATGGACAAGCACGCACTAAAAGAATCTAAAAGACGGGAGATACCAGAACAATCGAGACCACCCCCCCAAGCGAGGTGGCTGCGGTGGCTGCATGCAGTTGCCTCCTCTTCATCTCCATCCTTGCCACCAAAAAGGGGGTCATCGTCGTCACTTTCTTCTTCAAGGCCAAAGTTCTTGAACTGCGCAACAGCCAGTTGCAATGGTTTGTGAGACTTGGCGAAGCCTAGAACCTATCTAGTCCTATCTTAGGTTTGCAAAAAGTGTGCGCGATACGGCGATACATATTTCATCATATTCCTAGGTGAAAAAACATTACTCGCATTGCAGAGATGTCTGACCCGCTGCTTCGACAATTTAAATGTTTGTTCCGACAATCAAAAAGTCTTGTTCGACAAAGAAAACATCTGGTATGAAAACTATCGTTCGACTACGTAAAACGTCTGGTTCAACAATTGCAATCGTCTGATTCGGCAGCAATGGTTTGACAATTAAGAATATTTAAAACCGACATGAAACCTAAACCAACCCAACCATATAAACCCTAAATAAACCCGACTCTGAAGCGTAGTTGGTAAGCCAAACGAATCGTAGTTTTTGAACCAGCAGAGTTAGTGATTGCTGAAGCGCGTGCTTGCTGGACCCGGACGGTTCATTCTGGCTGTGAAAGTTATTATAGTTATCTTATAATATCTTATAGATTCTTATAGTGTATCTATGTCTATCTCAGTTCGTGTCTGCATGATCTTTCGCAGTTTCACCCACGCCCTTCACCCTTGGGATCCCTTAGGCGCACCGATGGAAGACCTCCCTCTTGACGGATTGGCACTGGTGCGAGCTTGGCTGGGTCACTCGTTCCCAGCCATTCCTGCTTTAAATCGGTCACATGTGCTAAGAATGCAAAACAACGCAAAACAAATAAAATCAAATAACATCAAATATCATCAAATAACATCAGAGAGCCAAAATACCAGTATAGTACAAGTGTTGTTTCAAAGGTTTGCTGCCTTGATTTTGTCATCTGCGAGTAGATCCCGTGGCTTTAACTGTCTGACGCTCCATCATATTTACGAAAAGGATCAAAAAGGCTTTTTTTAATCAGACTCGACAAGATTGGGTCAATGGATACTGGTCATCAATGGGATCATCTGATACCCGGTATCACTTGACTAATTGGGCTATTGAAAATTTAAAGTGAACAGTCAAGTTTACAGCAAATGGCAGGGGCTTGACAGTTACATTTTTTCTAGTACTAAGTATGTAGTGTATAGGACGAGTAGATACCAATAGTAGATGACTGAGCAACAAACAGCTCTGATCTTATGTCATCAGCCAGTGGTGCTCATGCAACAGGACGTAGAGGATGAGTGGAAATATGTCTCGCAGGTGCCGCATCTCTGAAAGTCTCTGGAAAATTTGGGAAAGGCTGTGAATCGCGACTTAAATGAGTCTGGAAAAATCGCACAGATCTGTACCGCAAATATGTCGGCGCGCGCGTCCTACTATTAATTTTTGAACCAGCCAAGCGAAAAAGAGTACCGGATGCACACATGGTCTAATAACATCCAATAACAATGTACAAGGGCGTGAGCTATTTTTTTCCATGCTGCTCCAAATCTCACTTGCAATGAGAAACTACAGCCCAGCATTAGGTGTAGCAATGCCAATGGTATATCGTTTTCGAGAAAGACTAGCGACATGTGCAGGCAGTCCTTCATCACTCGCGACCAAACGTCATCATCCACCACCCAAGGGTCCTGTCTAGCAAGCGAATGAAGTTGGTCTGTGTGCTCAGATTTTCTCTATCTCTCTATCCCAGGTTCTCTCTCTCTCTCTCTCTCGCTGTCTCTCTGTCTCTCTTCGGACATGCAAGACTGATCTACAAGATACCCACTTGAAATGTTTTTCTCATGTGTTGCAGGTGCCAACCTGTCATACAGCCAAGCACTATCGAGACAATGCATCAACAGTCAAACAGATGGCTGCTGGCACCTACAAGCTGGGACCCAGTAGTCAAATTTGCTAACTCCATCTGACTCCATCTCCTCTGTAAAGTATCTTAGACACCTGTAGTGCTTGCCTGCTAAAGATCAGCCAGTGACCCTGCAGCATGCCTCAGGAAAATCTCCTTTGTCGTCGCCAAGACAATCAAGAAAGCCCTGCACGTTCTTTCTGTTGGTGCACGTGAATCACTTGCCTGGTCTACCACTTTTTGCCCCCTGCATGCTGCTAAAAATGTAAGAGTCGCGTCATCAGTGCGTGTCTATGCTGAAATCTCTCAAAGCACAATGCTTTCTTGCACTGCACCTGATAGAATGTCTCAAACTGCTGCTCGGACATGAGGGACTGGCAAATCCGCTGCGAACAAAATTGCGATGATTTGAGATGATGTATGGCTACAAATGCTGTCGAACAATGTCGAACATCTATGAACCCTGACAAAATCTCCGTCTCTGTCAGCTGAAGACACACTTGAAGTAACTGAAGACGTATGAAAACATAACTGTCTTTAGCTGGTTTCAGCTGTCAGGGAAGCTTTTGTGCGCCTTGGCTTGGGCAGCAGACACTGTGTGGCTGTCGACCAGCTTCATGGCCTGGAGCAAACACTGACGAGTTCATACGAGTTCTAGCAGTGATCGCCGTGAACAACGCTTAGCGGCTTTATAGATATCCATAGATTCCATAGATATCCATAGATTGCATCCCAGGTTTTCCCATGGACGAAGAATTAAACCGGCCAACAGAACCAAAATGGAACAAGACAACCTTCGGTCTGAATGCGAAAGCTTACAAGGAAACTTGAAACTACCTCTGCTGCTCTCTTCCGTTCGTTCATCCATGTTCAGCTTCAACTGTGATTCACCGGTGTTCATTGTGCGTGTGTATGTATGTATGTATGTATGGATGGATGGATGGATGGATGGATGCATGCATGCATGCATGCATGCATGCATGGATGCATGGATGCATAGATGCATGGATGCATGGATGCATGTAAGTATGTAAATATGTAAGTATGTAAGTATGTAAGTATGTATGTATGTATGTATGTAAGTAAGTAAGTAAGTAAGTAAGTAAGTTGAGTGAGTTAAGTAAGTTAAGTAAGGCAAGTAAGTTAAGTAAGTTAAGCAAGTTAAGTAAGTTAAGTAAGGCAAGTAAGTTAAGCAAGTTAAGTAAGTTAAGTAAGTAAAGAAAGTAAAGTAAGTAAAGTAAGTAAAGTAAGTAAAGTAAGTAAAGTAAGTAAAGTAAGTAAAGTAAGTAAAGTAAGTAAAGTAAGTACTGTAAGTAATGTAAGTAAAGTGAGTTATATAAGTTATGTAAGTTTTGTAAGTTATGTAAGTTAGGTAGGTTAGGTAAGTTAGGTAGGTTAGGTAAGTTATGTAAGTAATGTAAGTAATGTAAGTAATGTAAGTAATGTAAGTAATGTAAGTAATGTAAGTAATGTAAGTAATGTAAGTAATGTAAGTAATGTAAGTAATGTAAGTAATGTAAGTAATGTAAGTAATGTAAGTAATGTAAGTAATGTAAGTATGTAAGTATGTAAGTATGTAAGTATGTAAGTATGTAAGTATGTCTGTCTGTCTGTCTGTCTGTATGTATGTATGTATTGTCTGTATGTCTGTATGTCTGTATGTCTGTATGTCTGTATGTCTGTATGTATGTATGTATGTATGTATGTATGTATGTATGTATGTGTGTATGTATGTGTATGTATGTATGTGTATGTATGTGTATGTATGTGTATGTATGTGTATGTATGTGTATGTATGTGTATGTATGTGTATGTATGTGTTTGTATGTGTATGTATGTGTATGTATGTGTATGTATGTGTATGTATGTGTATGTATGTGTATGTATGTGTATGTATGTGTATGTATGTATATGTATGTATATGTATTTATATGTATTTATATGTATGTATGCATGCATGCATGCATGTATGTATGTCTCTGTGTGTGTGTGTATGTGTGTGTGTATGTGTGTATGTGTGTATGTGTGTATGTGTGTGTATATGTATATGTATCTGTATGTGTATATTTATATGTATATGTATATGTTTAAGTGACTGTATGAGTGTGCATCTGTGTGTGTGCGCGTGTTTATGTCATCATTTCATTTCTGAATGCTTTGCAAGCGCGCAGCCTTGACAAGCTCATCCCGCAAGTAATCCCGTCCTGGGCCGTTTGATACAATCGCAAGAAACGGGAAAGAGTGGCCGAAGCCATGACAGCAGCTCAAAGATGCTCAAAGTATGCATGGCAATGCATGGCAGGCTGAAATTGTCCTTCCACGTTATAGGCACAAGTTCGGTGCGACAGAAGCGACTCCGCTAGGAGCAACTCAAAGAAGGAACGAGACTAAACGTAATTACTTCAGCTGAACATCGACAAAACCAAAACAAAACAGTCGTTCATAAATTTCAATATCCCAGTGTTCACATACAGATAACACATGATAAAACAGAAAAGGTAGACAGACTACCAGGGCAAGGATTCTCCCTGGCCTGGCAACATTAACATGTAAGCACCTTTCCACCTCTGCCTCTCTCCGCTTCCTCTCCCTTTCACCCTTTAACCTATTTAGATCTATATAATATGCTAGTTCTACCTCGGCTTGGCAAAACGGGAAGTGGAGAGGTGGAGGAAGTAGCGGAGCAGAGGCACAGAGGGGTGGGAAATGAGACAGGCTAGATCTGAGAAGCAGATAGAACTAGTGCACAGCGAACTAACAAAGGTGCAGAGGAGGGGAGGTCCAAACGGACTTTTAACATCTTATAGATACTGTATGATACTGTATACAAAACAGAAAAACAGTTTTACATAGTTTTACACTCATTTGACTTTGGCTGTCGTTTTGTTAGATGTTGCTCTTCTATTGCTGAGGCTTGAACGGTCTGTCAGGCTCTTGCGAGCCTAGGTAGCCAGCAGAATATGCCAGCAGAATATTTACCATGAACAGGGTTTGGACTGTCACCTTCGAAATCCCACATCCACATGCTAAAGGACTAGCTACTCTATGCATCGAGCATGAATTTGGAACGTGCGAATTGAAACAGAATACACATTGACGAGTCATGTCTAAGCACATTCACATATTGAATTCTATAATATGTAATACCATCCTATATCATCTTATTCTTATATCATATTATATAAATTATATTCTATCATCTTAAATCTACATGTTCTACATGTTCTACATGTTCTACATGTTCTACATGTTCTACATGTTCTACATGTTCTACATGTTCTACATGTTCTACATGTTCAGCAGTTCCTGCACAACAAATGGCCTGGATGAACTCTCGAGACGCTTTGACTTCCATGACCAACTCCTGGGCGGCAAAGACACATCGTCCTAGAAGCCAAAACCATCTGAAATCATCCGAAACCATCCGAAACCATCCGAAACCATCCACAACCTAGAAATTCTACAGAAACTATATGAAACTATATGAAACATTATGAAACTATATGAAACTATATGAAACTCTGACAAAATATGACAAAATATGACAAAATATGACAAAATGTGACAAGGTATGACAATGTAACAATGTATGACAAGCTTGTATTCTTCTGCATCACTAAAACGATCCAAGACCTCTATCATGACGCTACTTTATCATCTTTGTCTGGTCCGTGTCCGAGAAGTGAGGTAGGTGGGCAAGCTATATACGTACAACAAAGCTGTTGAAAATAGGCCTCAGTGAGCCTCTGTGCACGTTTGAAGACTGCCAACCCTCAAGTCATCCATGTCTCCTTTAGATTTCTGCGCATCATCTGTTCACTCTTTGATCGGGAACCTTCCAACATGAGCACTGTTGAACTGTCCAAAGAATCCATGTTAGACACCTCCGATTTCTCTTTAAGCTTCCAAAGCAAGCTTTCCTACGTAGCATCACAGTCAGATCTTGTTTTCGTTGACTTTTGATCACTATTGAATTTCAGTATTTTTAGCCCCTACACGCATTGGTGCATGCAATTGCCTATTCGGACGATGCTCTCACAGAACTTGAAAATGCCTTCCAAGAACCTGGCAAGAGAACTGAATCAAAGCTGATCGAGGCAAACCTTTGAATTTTGCATCAGATGCATCAGGTAAATGCAGCAAGTAGACTAGACTGCAACGCTACATGTTCGATTCTAAACCGCTCCATCTTGACCACAAGACAAGTCTTTCGGTTGCTTTTCGTATAATTATAATTACAGGAAATTCATCAAAATTCATGAAACGCATACTTCAAGCTTATACCAAGCATCCAAAGGCAGTCGATTACCCAAGTGAGACGTCCAAGCTTGACAGAAGGACTGATCCAAGGCGTGGTTTGTAAAGCACACGACCAGGATTGGTGAGTGGCGGAGATTTCTGGTGTTGTCCAGCAAAGCCTGCCGCAATGTGCCACGCTTCATGATGGTTCATGTGGTTGTTGGATATCATACATGACACACGTTTTGCCTGCACTGGCCTGATCTGGCCTGCACCAAATCGAAAACCTACAGTCGAGCCTGCACTATCTTGAGTCCGACGAATGTCCTCAGAAAGCTCTGTTGTCATTCTTGCTTAGTCTTGGGTTTGCATCCTCTTCTGGCAGTTCCAGTTGTGCTGCCTGCGAAGCTTGGTAGGAATATTATATATATATTAAATTACTTTGGCACAGGTCTCATGTCTGCTGCAAATTCTGAGTTTCTTAGGCGAACACTTTCCAGTACCAGGTGGACCTTGAATCAACGCCATTTGATGTGTGAGGGCCTTAGAGCGATTTCAGAGGAAAGCATAAGAAGGGAACACACTCAGACTGCACAAAGAAAGAAACCTGTCCAGGGTCTCGCAAGTTGAAGGATGTTGAAGGGTGGATAGGGAGTTGTCTTTTTCTGCTTGACAGAAGAAAGGAACAAGGGAAACAAGGACATAGAAATTGGAGGCGATGCGCTTGCTGAGCGAGGCTCTGGGACAGGAAAGGCATGGAAACGTGGACAACAACGTTGACTGCGTGGACGACGCCGGCCACAACGACAACGACAACAACACCAACACCAGAAGAAGAAGGAGGAGGAGGAGGAAGAAGAAGAAGAAGAAGCAACCTGACTACCCACAACCTCCAAACCAACAACCTCACACAAGGGAAGCCTACAAGCCATTGCCTGGGGAATATGTAATCGTCTTCAAATGGGGTAAGATTTACAGGGAGAAAGGTCAACATGGTCAACCAAAAAGAGCCGAAAAGGCGAA